GCCAGAAGGAGGAGGAGGGACTCTGTTCTGGCCAGCAGGGTCTGGGAGGAGGCAGCCAGGGCCCAGGATGGGATGGGGACTGATGGAGCTGTACTCCTTTACGCATTCCCGTATCTAAACATGTTTAATCATTAAGATCCACCAGCCCTTAGTGTTTATACTAATTGCATTGTATTCTTTACAAATATAATGGGAGTGGATCCTGCTATCATATTCCTCTTACAAAATGTAACACGAAGCCTAAGAGATCTTATATACGTGGGCCCTGAAGACACACGTCTATATAAATGCACCATTGAGCCAGGACTCAAAATCAGTTCTTTCAAACCGTAGTGCCAGCCTTTGTCCAGGTGGCATGCCAGAGCTCTATGTGGAGCGATGAAGAAAGCAGACACGTTCCTATACCGTGCAGCTTGCAGTTTTCTAGGAGAGGTGGTTACTCAACAAAGAGAAAGGAAATACTTTGCAGGTTCTAAATGTGTGATAGTAGATATTCTGAACTAGGAAGCAGGGGCAGCGGGTGGCATACCCGCTAGAAGGCAGACTGGAGAGCAGCTCCTGCCATAAAGAGGGCAACCTGGCAGCGTGCTCCTTGCCGGCACCACCTTCACGCTGCGGGAGTGTGAAGCAGAAGCCCCACGCTGGAGCTCACAGAGACAGAGACAGAGACAGAGACAGAGGCAGAGGCAGAGGCAGACAGACAGTTCTCCAGCCGGAGGAAAGGGCTGTACTGCTGCAGGGCAAATGGAAGCTAGAAAGAAGGATGCCCGTAGTGAGCCAGAGCAGGATGACAATCAACGACAAGTCAGCCACGCACGTCTACGGTAGCCAAGACGCAGGAGCGGAACGGATGGGTCTGTTAATACCCAGAGCCAGAATATTTGCAGATGGATGAACATGACCAACCAAAACCAGAGACATCGATTTTAACAGCAAATGAGACCCCACCGTATGATTATTCAATGAATTCGTCCAGGAATATTTATTGAGTCCCTGCTGTGGGAGAGGCACGCAGCATTCCTCGAGGTTCTGGGAATAAAACAGCAACAGCAAGCGGCCCATGGGACTTACCTGCGCAAAGAGGAATGATTCTGACTGGCAGCAGTGAGTACTGTGCTTAGTGGACGCCAGGTACTGTTTCAAGCATGTCTCATGGGGACTCTATGGTACAGGCAGTCTTAACACTCCCATGTCACAGAAGATAAACAGAGCTCAGAGAGAGGACATCATTTTCCCAAGGTCACACAGCTTCTAAGTCGGGAATGACGGGATTTGAATGCCAGTAGTCTAGCTCCAGAGTACATGTTTTAAACTCCTATACTATTCTGACGACAAGAGACATTCATTAAAAAAAAAAGTACGCTGAAAATTGGAAAGTAAAGTGGTGGAAAGGATATATCATGATTCCTGACCAGGTGGGAATTCAGCCCACACAAAGGGTTGCATTCCCTAAGATCAACCAAAGAGAAACAAAAAGGGGACTATGGAAATTAACTTTAAAAAAGTGATACTCTGTGTAGCTGTTCCCCCAGTTACTGAGAGAGGAGTTTTGAAATGGTCAACTATAATTGCAGAAATCTAATATATTTTTCCTGGCAGCTCTGCCAGTTTTGTTCATTTATTTTGATAAATGATGCTCTGTTATTGGGGGCATACATGTTCAGGATTTTTATGTCTTTTAATGAAGTTGTAGAAGCTAGATGTACACAGTAAATATTGCATGATTCCATTCATATGAATATCCAGGACAGAGAAAACTAATGTATCGTGATAGAAGTCAGCGATTGCTGGACAGGGGGAATGACTGGGAAAGGAAATGAAGGAATTGGGGGGGCGTGATGGATGGAAATGTTCAGCATCTTGATCGGGGGACATGGTTACAGGGTGTATACACCTGCCAAAATTCATTTAACTGCACACTTAAAATGGGTGCATTTTATTCTATGTAAAGTATACCTCCATGACCTTAATCTGAAATAAACAAAGTCATACATTTGAAAACTGCAGGATGGAAATGACAACCTGATCTGCGTGGGGGACCGGACTCTCCAGCTTGGGGCTCATGTTCACCGCCCGCCTTGTACTCACTGGATCTGACCCAAAGTAAAGCCGTTTTCCGATGACCAACACCAGAGGGTAAGGTTCATCGTGCAGGGCAACGTGACCGTCTGGCAGAACAGGCAAAACACGCCCGGCAAACCAGCGGAACTACATACACAGTCGCTCAGAAGCAGAAGAGTTAGAGCGGT